GTCTTTGGTTTTTTTGTTTTGTTTTTTTTTTTTTGAGGACATGAAACAGTTTTGTATCGAATCTAGCAATCTTATTCCAACACTTTTTTTCCTAACTGCTTATTAAATTCTTAATTCCTCAAATTTTCTTTGAACCCATGTTACCAACCTGCTGGTTCCCTCATTAATGAGTTCAATAAATCTTTGACATTCTATATTAGTATGAGAGTCATGTTTTTCAACTTTTTGAAAATTATACTTTGTCAGCAGGGTCATGTGGAAGCTCCCGAAACTTAAGCAGCAGAGTATCACAGGTCAGGGATTTTATTAGAGGTGTTCCACTAGAAAACGTCCCGACATTCCACTCCAAGAGGGTGAAAATATTAAAGAGACACAGCAGAAATCACAAACAAAATCAGAAGTACAGGCCTAACTGAGGACAGTTGGCAGGGACTGAATTTGAGACCAATACCCCACACAAGCATTTTTTCCACCTCTCTTCTCATCCCTAAAGACTACATGATGATTGATTTGTTTCACTTCTTGGCAGTCTCTCACCGATTTTTTTTTCAGCGAAGCTTCTGTGAGCCAGTGGGTTAGACAGAATAAGCCAAGCAATGCCCTGGAGGCTGGGGAAAGAACACATTAAATTGGGGGTGGGGATGGATGTGGCCATCCTAGCCCTTCAGGGCTACACACTTAGATTCTCTCCCAAACATAGGCAGGGGGAGGGCCAGCCCCACGAGCAGCCTGACTGCAGGCTGGGGGACACACATCCTGCTATCCCTGTCAAGGCCCCAGGGTGGAGCTTGCTGTGGTCTGAGCAGCCTGAGACTGAGCTCACAATTTCCACTGCAGTTGGCAACAGCTGGGTCACTGCTATTTCTTCCTAAGAAGAAGCCCCTCCAAGAGAACCAGGAGTTCTAGTTCCAGACTCCAGGCCTCTCCTTCCCGCCCACTAGGGCCTAGGATCCAGCAACATTTACTTCCCTTACAACCCAGGGAGAGACAGCTGGGACAAAGGCAGGAAGTCCTTCTGCGCATGGGAAACACCCTTTCTAGAAAGGCTCCACCCGCCTGCTCTACTCAGCCTCCCTGTGGTCATAACTCACGTGGCACCTATTCCCTCCCTACCTCATTCGGACTTGCCCACAGTCCCCTCTGGGCTCCTGATTTTCATCCTACGCAATGACTCTGATTATTCTCACCCCTTCAGACATAGCAAAAGATCGGACAACTGTTGGGAAGGGCAAAATGAAGGTCTAAAAGCATCGTGCCGGAGAACTGAGTCTTCTCCTCTGTCCCTGTGGTATGAGAGAACTTTTGCAGCACGTTGTTTCTGATACAAAAAAACACAGGGTTCAAGAATCAAGAACCTAAACTGATATGATACCCTTTTTGCTCCTAAACCAACATTTCTGCCTATTCTCTTCCCCTGAAAAATTACTAGTCCTAGACTAAGTCCCCTAAGTTCCATTTAACTGCCCTGCTAGCAAGCTAGGCTGAGGTAAAGGAAGGACCAGTTTTATACATACACCTAGCCTTTACATGGATCCACAATCAACGCCATGGAAGCAGCAGTCAAGAAATTAAATGACCTGGAATATATCCTAGAGAAATAAGAGTCATCACATGAATAGATATATGCACACCCACGTTCACTGCAGCACTATTCACAATAGCAAAAAGATGGAAACAACCTAGGTGCCCATCAACAGACGAACGGATAAACAAATTATGGTATATTCACACAATGGAATACTACGCAATGATAAAGAACAATGATGAATCCGTGAAACATCTCATAACATTCTGGAATCTGGAAGGCATTATTAGTCAGTCGCAAAGGGACAAATATTGTATAAGACCACTATTATAAGAACTCAAGAAAAGGTTTAAACACAGAAGGAAATATTCTTTGATGGTTACCAGAGTGGGGAGGGAGGGAGGGAGAGGGTTATTTGCTAACTAGATAGTAGACAAGTATCTTAGGCGAAGGGAAGGACAGCACACACTACAGGGGAAGTCAGCACAACTGAACTAAACCAAAGCTAAGAAGTTTCCTGAATGCAACCAAACATTTCAAGGGACAGAGTAGCAGGGGCGGAGGTCTGGGGGCCATCCTTTCAGGGGACACCTAGGTCAACTGGCATAAAAAAGTTCATTAAGAAAATGTTCTGCATCCCACTTTGGTGAATGGCACCTGAGGTCTTAAAAGCTGGCGAGCAGCCATCTAAGATGCATCAATTGGTCTCAACCCACCTGAAGCAAAGGAGAATGAAGAACACCAAAGACACAAGGAAAGTATTAGCCCAAGAGACAGAAAGGGCCACATAAACCAGAGACCTCATTAGCCTGAGACCAGAAGAATTAGATGGTGCCCAGCTACTACCAATGACCGCCCTGACAGAGAACACAACAGAGAGTCCTTGATGGAGCAGGAGAAAAGTGGGGTGCAAAACTCAAATTCTAGTAAAAAGACCAGATTTAATGGTTTGATTGAGACTGGAGGGATCCCAGAAGACATGGCCCCTGGATGCTCTGTTAGCCTAAAACTAAAACTATTCCCGAGGCCAACTCTTCAGACAAAGATTAGACTGAACTGTGGGACATAAAATGATACTCGTGAAGAGTGTGCTTCTTAGCTCAAGTAGATCCATGAGATTAAATGGGCAGCTCCTGTCTGGAGGCGAGATGAGAAGGCAGACAGGGTCAGGAGCTGGTTGAATGGACATGGGAAATTCGGGGTGGAAAGGAGGAGTGTGCTGTCACAGTATAGGGAGAGCAACTAGGGTCACATAACAATGTATGTATAAATTTTTGGATGAGAGACTAACTTGAATTGTAAACTTTCACTTAAAGCGCAACAATAAAAAAAAAAATCAAATGATGCATTGCACTGGGCAAATCTGCTTCAAAAGACCTCTTTAAACTGTTCAAAAGCAAAGATGTCACTTTGAGGACTAAGGTGCGGTAGACCCAAGCCATGGTATTTTCCATCACCTCAAATGCATGCAAAAGCTGGACAATGAATAAGGAAGACTGAAGAAAAATTGACGCCTTTGAATTATGGTGTTGGTGAACAATATTGAATATACATGGACTGCCAGAAGAACGAACAAATCTGTCTTGGAAGAAGCACAGTCAGAATGCTCCTTAGAAGCAAGGATGGCAAGACTTCATCTCACGTACTTTGGACATGTTATCAGGAGGCACCAGATCCCTGGGGAAGGATATCATGATTGCTACCAGTAAAGGGTCAGCAAAAAAGAGGAAGGCCCTCAACGAGATGGACTGACACAGCGGCTGCAACAATGGGCTCAAATGTAGCAATCATTGTGAGGATGGCGCAGGACTAGCAGTGTTTCATTCTGTTGCACACAGGGTCACTATGAGTCAGAACCAACTTGATGGCATCTAACAACAACAACAGCCTTTAGAGGTTGAATTTGTGTGGTCTGGTGTTAGCAAAAGCCCATATGATATCATGGACCAAATCAATACCTCAGAAGAGTAAGAGATTTACAGAGTACCTCTATGTCTCACTACATCTTGAGGGTAAAATCTTCTGCCTTGCCAGGATTTGGAGCAACTAGAACTTACATACACTGTCATGGGAAAGTGTACCACTTCAGAAAATTGTTTAGGAGTATCTACAAAAGCTGAACAGATGTAAATCCTATGACCCAGCAATTATACACCTAGGTATACACCCAACAGAAACGTGTACACGCATGCACCAAAAGACAAGAATAAATTCATAGCAGCACTGTTTATTCACAATAGTCACAAACTAGAAACAACCCAAATGTCCAGCAACAGTAGAATGGATAAACTGTCGTATGTCCCAATGGTGGAATTCTACAAAGCAATAAGAATGAACAAACTTGCTACATGCAAAACCGTCGATGAATCCCACAAACAACATTGAGCAAGAGCAGCCAGATATAAAAGGTATGTTACTTAGATTATATTTATATGAAGTTTAAGCAACAGCAATCTATTATTTAGAAGTCAAACAGTGGATATCTTTGTGAGAGAGATTAACTGGGAGGTGGGCTTCTGAAGAGTTAGTAATGCTCTACTTCTTGATTTGGGGACTGGTTACAAGCTGTATGATTACGAAGGTTGTGTTCACAAGACTGGTTACAACGGTGTATGATTAGTGTATTTCCTGTATGATTATTATATTATACCTCAATAAAAAGTTTAAAAAGATGGAAAATGTACACAGTCTAAGGTTCTTATTTCTAGCTCTTTCCACCATTCACTTCCTCAAACTCAATTCCCTCCCCCATTAATCTCCCCATCCCACCCCGAGACTCCTTTCTCTAATCATTACCCAAAATATGTGATTTGAAACACATACTTTTTTTTTGTCAGATGAAATTGAGCAGGGCATCTCTGCACTCTTGCAATTTTTTCAGCATTCCTAACTAGGCTAATTCCACCATCCACCTCATGACTCACATCTCCGCTAAAGAACCCCATGGTCTTCAGGGGGTGGTTTCAGAGTGAGAGCCTCTTTTTATTCTCTTTATTTTCCCCTTTCCACCTTCTTCTTTGTCTACTAATTTGAGGGCCTCTCTGATTCACTAGGAATACCTCCAGCAACAGAAAACTCCCCAAAGAGTCTAATTCAATTGGCTAGTCCCACTTTCTTCGATCCCACTTGCCAGCTCCCACCGCCTTCTAAGAAATATCTGTAGCAACACTGGAGCATTTCTACTCAAGGTTAAGGAAAGAGATCTTTCCACTAAAATCCACTGAGTTCAGGGGAAATGCTAAAAAGAAACTCAGACACTAGGCTTCAAAAGTCAGCCCCATCCTGGCGTTCCTCAGAGGAATACAAAAAGGTTTTAAGTATTAGTAGTAGGTAGGATTTCTTTAAGAGGGACTGCTGTGACTATGAGGTAGAAGCAAAATACCACTGCATTTCAGGTTAAGATTGCCTGGCAAGAAGCAAGTATCACCAAATCTGTACTGTGCCTGCAAGTCTCCCCACATGTACTCTAACTTACGGCTGACATAGCTTAACGAGGTCCTGGTCAGTAGTGCCTGGTTGCAATCCCCGGATGTACAGGTTGGTTTTGCTCAGCTGGTCATTTCCATTGCTCCCACTGCTGCTGCTAGGGTTACTGTTGCTTGGACTAGGTGGTGCCATCTGCTGAGCCAATGACACATATGGCTGCAGGGAGACATGAAGATCAGAGGGTTATACATGCAGATGTTGGAGAGTCAGAAAGACCCTGGCCTCTGGAGAGAATGATTTCAAACTTGAACAGCAACAAATTCACCAGGAGACCAAAAAAAAAAAAACCTTAAAGGAACTCCTCTGCTACAGAATGAGAACATACATAACTGTCCTACCTACCTTTCAGGAATAATGAGAGACCAAAAAAGCTTGTTCAACGTTTTGAAAAAAGGTATAAATTACAGTGAAATATTGTATCATATAAATGCTGCAGAACAGGATTAATGCCTGTCTCTTAAATAAACTGTGTAATGAGATGAGACTAATAAAATCTAGGTTTCATTCTAAAATGATGAAAAGGAGATAATAAAAATTTATCAAATCATGAAGGGCACAAATAAGTTAAACATAGATTACTCACAAAACTACAGACTATAAGAACTGCAAAAAACCTCCAGAAGCTTGAAAATTACTGTAAACTTAGACAAACAAAAGGAAATATTAATTATTATGTCAGGTAGTAAAAATGAAATTTGCTACCATCTTAATAGGGGCTTACTCAAAAGTTATAAGTTTCAGAATGTTTAAATGAATGAATAATTGATATATTATGTTCAAGGAAATCCAAGATTTGGAGCAAAATATCTTTTAATCTTTTGCAACTGATACCAAGACAGGCAACCAGATTCTGCGGTAACATTTTCTAGGTACTTCTGTTAGAGACAAAGTACCAGACTGGCCGGAACATGATCCATCCCTTCATGGCATATTTTATATCCTTATGCTCTAATCAGGCTTTTAGTGGTTACATTTAAATTTGGTTCAAAATATGTATCTAAATTTGCATAATTACCTATAATATAGCACACTCTACTACATCACACTCATATTCCAGTTCTCCCCTTAGCTTAAAGCGTTTTGTAGTATAAACCTGTTCGGTACTACTTGCCTCAAAAATGCTAGTTTCGTCTTCAGTTTGTTTTTGTTTTTTCCTTTCTATCTTTGGTGGTGGTAATGAAGGACTGGGATAGTAACAGAGTAAGAAGAAAAACAGAAACATGAATATCAAAGAGGGGAAATTGTCCCCCAAAAGAATCTTAACGAACATGAATGTGCCTTTTAGATTTCATGCCTCTGACATCCAGCAAACCTCAAAATAAAAACCTTTGCTCAGGCTAAAATCTGTGGAAGCAGGTATTTCCCTATCTTTATCAGTATATACAATCACAAATGTGCACCCATTTGCATATGAATAGTTTACTCCTTAGCAGGAAAGAAAAGAAATTCAATACCACCTTCTGAGATGGCCCAAAGGCTCTTGATTCTAGTGTAACACTTAACATGCTGTGCAGTGAATTACTTAATATGGCCCTTCTAGCCATAGTCTTTGTTAACTCCCACCAATTGACTGGGTGGGAATATGCAAATGAAGTGCTTGTGGCCCACCAAAGGAATCAGACAGCTTGCTAATCATGCAAATAAGGTGCATGGAACCCTGTGTATGTGGGACCAAGCAAATAAGGTGTATGGAACCCTAACAAGGCGATTGGTCAATTTTGCCATCCTGCTAGGCTTAAAAGAGAGCCAACCCCAGAGCGAGGGGGCATCTGCCTACCACTAAGAAGAAGAGACGGAAGCAGGAACATGTCCTTTGGACCCGGGACCCCTGCACTGAGACCCTCCCAGATCCAGGAGACACAGAGAAAACTGTAACACCAGAGACGGCAAGACAGCAAGATACAGCAGGAGAGAAACGGCGGCAGCAAAGGCAGCGGGACCAGGAGACCGGCAGGAGACAGCATGGTGGGCTTCCCAGCCCATGGAGTGAGAAAGCTGAGTGCCTTCGGGCAGTAGGCTTGCTGGCAGGGTGGGGTGCCTTTGAGCACTTGTCAATGGAGCTAAAGAGCTTTGTAACACTTGCCCAAGCAGGGCAGAGGCTGGGCCAAGGGGCCAAGGGTCCATCTGTGGCTCAGCTGAGAAAAGGCTGTCCTGATCAAAGAACTGCATCCTGACTTCATCCCTGGTTCTGAATTGTAACCTGTTACTTCCCTAATAAACCCCATACTCTTGAGTATTATCTGTGAGTTGTGTGTGGCCGTTGCAGTGAATTACCGAACTTAGCAGAGAAGTAGAGAGTGTCATGGGAGGGACAGCTGGTGTCAGAATGGGTAAAAAGGTCAGAGAGAGGAGGTATGTCTGATCTCCACCTCATAGGAATCAGCCTTAGGCTGTTGTTGATAACGATCCTTCTCCCTGGTGAAGTTAGAGGATGTCAGACCCCCATCCCCCCCGCCGCACCCCGCACCATTCTTACAACACCCTTTGTATTTCCTGTCCCTGTCTCCCTCTTTTGGCCAGCACTTACGCTAGGCTTTTCCAGATAGAACGCTCCATGTCCGAGGAGTATTTATTATTCCACTGTGAAGCTGGTGATAGTCACATGATGTAATCAACAAGGGCAGTGCAGTGCATGGGGCATGAGTATCTTTCTGAGCAACTTTCAAAGGATAAGGCGACAGTAAGGCAAATAAATCTAAGGTCATACTGCTAGTGCTAGAAATGCAGTAAATACTTTAAGAACAATGCTGAAATTTCCGTTGAATTATTATACATAAATAGTAAATACTATATCAAAATATTATACCTTGAATTATTATACATTGATTGAATAATAAACACTAGTGGGTCTAGGTGCCCTTCACTGTCACTACTATCATAATTGCACTATCTGATTTTAAAGAGTCCAGAAGATTGTGACCTATATTCGAATCATGGTTCCCAAGTTCAGAATAAGGAGATCACTGCTAGAGATCATTCAATATGATGTGCCCTTTCTCAGTTCTGGGGGTGCAGTGGTTAAGAGCTGGGCTGCTAACTGAAAGGTCAGCAGTTCAAATCCACCATCCGCTCCTTGAAACCCTACAGGGCAGTTCTACTCTGTCTTATGGGGTCTCTATGAGCCGGAATGGATTCGATAGCAATGGGCTTGGCTTGGGCTTTCTCAACTCTAAGGAGTTGCTATTACAAATCCTTAGCTAAGAAAACCAAGCTGCTTCTAAATATGAGATTCCAGGTCCTGGGGCTGGTGATGATGATAATGATGATGCCCACAGCAAAATGATAATAAAAGCAACTCCAGTAGAAGCTTACCATGGGCCAAGCACAGGCAGTTGAGGGGAGTTTATCCTGCCTCGGTTGAGTTTATCCATCCCCTTTCCCAGTGTGACAGAGTATTTCTAAATGCAAAGTATCAATGACAGCAGGACTGTCCAAACAAGAATACAAGGGTTACTGGGGAAGAAAGTAATTTGAAAAGAAGTTATTTGGTTTGCTACCATGATTACGTACGGTTTTAACACTAAGGTCTGAGCTATAATCGAAAAATGTGATTTATTCAATAGCAAACTTGCTTAAAAAAAAAAAAGATATGGCTCAGAAAATAAACGTTTATCTCTTGCTATTTCCAAGCACCTTCTTAAGTTGCTGCATTGGTCTGGCACCAAAGACAAATAGTAGGAAAATATTCATTTTGAGGGGTAAGAGAATTGAAGGGGAAAAAAAAAGTGAAGAAAGCCTGTAAGTATAGCTTGTGCAGCTTCCTAAAAGAAACGGTTTGGAGAGAGACACCCTATAAACTGATAATCCCTGTTTACCTATGTACATAAGAGAGAAAAGGGTAGTACGTATGAGGCCCAAGGAGGAAAGAATAAAAAATAAAATAAAAAGCCCTGGTTTCTCCAAAGCCCTACATTTGCATTACCTCTTTATGTTTACTCCGTGGTGAAAGTTGTAACTCTTTAACAAGAGAGCACCATAGAAAGTATTTACATCAAAATTGAGGGAGGGGTGAACTTATATCCAAATTGAGTAGGCTGTGACTGACTACTAAGAAAAGGCCTAAAGGATTTACCTCTCTGATCAGGAGGGATCAATCCCAGGGTGTTTTTGCTGACTCTTAAGTCCCATGAAAGCAGAAAATTGTCTGATTGGTTCATCTTTGCATCCATAATGACTAGCCTACGGCAAGCATTCAATAAATATTTATTGATGAATGACCACTGCCTGCTTGGTTCTGTTCATTCACTGACAATGTGAAATACCCAGGAGCAGTTTCACCTCTGTTCCGCCTTCACTTCATTTTTGGCCTTAGATGAGTTCAGAAGGGCCAGGATGCCTAGCAGTGACACTTAAAGGTAACTTAAGCCTGATCCCTTAAAGTGTCAGTATCAGTACTCACAACTGCCTCAAAGCTGGCAGACAAAGTAAGGTTTAGTATGAGAGGTGACTACAGTAATGTGTTTCTGCATTAAACAGCTTAAATCTTATGATCCCCAGAGATTCTTATGAGGTGTCAGAGCATAATTCCCTGTCCATGCTTTAAACACCACCCCACCAACCTTTAGGGGAATTTAACTCCCTTTAATATTATCTCTTGAAGGTCTCAGTCTCGGACAATAAAAGAAGAGCACAAAAGAAGGAATTACTACATAATCTAGACATAAGTAACTTTCTGAGGGGGTCAGAGAGAAAACAGCTCTGAAGATGTTCAGGGCCAGCTCAGTGAGAAGTATCTAGGTACTTTGCTGCCTACCTCACAGTCTCAAATCTCTTTATGTGCTTTCCATAAAACCACCTCTCCAAAGTTCTCTTGGATCCTTAAGAGCTGCTAAGGGGAACATCAAGTCTCTGCAGACACATGACAGCTCAATATGGGTGAATTCTCCATATTCTGCAAAGGAAGGCGAATTTTGCCCTTTGCTCTGAGCTGGTGGATTCAAATTGCTGACCTTTTGGTTAGCAGTCAAGCTCTTAATCAAGGTACCACCAGGGCCCCTCACTCTGAGCAGGACTCCTAAGGGCAAAAGAATAAACATAACTGATATTTGGCACTTGCTGTATGCTAAACATCATGCTAAGTACTTTACATCTATTGCCTCATTTACCCAACTTCTCCTGGTCTTCCTCCTGCTTTTGCATGTGGCTGTTCACTCTAA